CAAAACTATATTCTAAAACATAATTTAACATATTTATATAATTAAAGTATGCGTTAATAATGTATTATTAAAACCCATGAAAACATTAATAAACGAAACAAAAAATAAATATTAAAAAAATGATTGATTGAGAATTCCTTGACTCAGACTGTAATTCCCGAAATACCCCTCTATTCAAGTAAGAATGTGATAGAAAGCATATTTTTCCGTACATGATAGTATTTTAATGATCAGATTTGTTTGAGGATGGAAACTTTGTTAATTGGACACTAAACAGACACGCTGCATTTATCTACTATTTGGTATTTAAGAAGTTTGTTTGAAATTAGTATCACTCGTACATTATGCTAAAATATGTAAGTGAAAGAATAAGATTATTTATTCGTATTTTCGATCCTTTGAAACAACTGACACTGAGTTCTCGAAAGTAGATCTATTAGATGGACACACAAGTTTGCATGCATTGACAACACGTTGTTAAACTGTGTACTGCCATGTAGGATTATGTTAAACCATTAACTCATGTAAATACATATGCTATACTCTATAACTGATATGTAATCTTATATTCAATTTTTAATGTGGTCTTTGCAAATACCACGAGTTTCATCCCATTATGAGACGTTTTTCGAGAAATATACATTACAATCGGCATCAAACTGAGGAAAACTCATGTTAATTACGTAGTGACTTGATCAACTTCAGGATATTAACTGAATCAGTTTGAACCAGCCAAGAAGCAATCAATTTTTCGTAGAAGAGCGTTTGAATAGGTCTGGAGTGCAAAAAACCGTAAGGTAACGCAGTGCAACTGATACTTTTGGATGGTTACACGCCCTCAAGAATGATGATCGCCGTAAGCGTGCGCAGAGGAGGATCCAGGGGGTCGTGTCCCCCCTGAATACTAGGCAGGAGACCTGTATGCCTAAGTAATAAAGGTTTTTCAATAGATGTGATAAATTTCTGATTTTCTCCTTTTTCAAGCGGACGTTTGAGGAATTAATACCAAAAATTTGCTCTCCAAACCTTTGACAATTCTGTAAATGATTCAACACAAAATCATTTGTATTTATTAATTGTATTATTAAAATAAAAATTACATTTTCATTGAAGTACGTTTTATTTTCTAGAAAAATATGACATGCAAAAAGACATTTAATGGAAAAAGGGGAGGCAAAAATGTAGTTGCCCCCTCCTTGTTTTAGGCTGCGCACGCCCATGATGATTGTTCTAAGTCCTGGGAATCTATTTAATTAAAAACCTATCAATGATTGTCTATATAATATGTTGTTTTAGGGAAGTAGAATTTTCATGATATTTAAAGACAAATAACTCGTAAATTTTAAAACACCATTATTTTTATTCTCATTGCCGAGAATCTGAAAGATTTAGCGGGTTTAATTTCCACTGGCGGAGTTGGCACGGTGCTCGGCCGGCGCGGGCGTGTGCGGTGAGGTGAGGGGGGCGGGGGCGCCAGCAGAGGAGGGAGGGGAGGGGGGAGGGGAGAGTGCAGCACCTGCCCAGCTGGGCGCCCACTCGCTGGTCCGACAGGAACGGGTCCAAGGCGGGTGCGGGTTCTGGTTCGGGCTCACTCCGCGTGCCATCTGCGCTGCCGCACCGGGAAACCTTCCGCCCCTATTCTTTACACTCGTAAACGCTTCCTTAGTTTTCGTACTTCTAATATAAGTGAGCAGGAAACATCTTTTTGGTCTTATATTAGATACCAGTTTAATACACTTCATTTATGGCATTTACCACTTGCCTTTTGTTTAGTAAAGTAAAAACATATTGCCTCTCTTCTCAGAGTCAGTAGTCAAATGTTATGTTTTTACTCATTCTGTGCGGTTTTAGTATCAAATTCGTACAGACTGAATCAAACAAAAGGATAAGAAGCCACTCTTAACGGTGAAGCGTAACTACCGACCGTTAAGTACTTAACAGTCCACAGTCCGTTAAAAATAATCAAAACAAAAGTGTTTTTGGTAAAGATGGCGTATGAGAGCAATTATTCGAAGGATTGAAAAGAAAGTTTTGTTATGTTTTCTTGTAAGATGGTATTACGAAAAGTATTGTAAGACACACAGTCGATAACAGAAAAAAAGTCTCGATTGGTTATTTGTTATTTATCAATCTAATAACGTTAATAACTAATTATATTTGTAGTTCTTATACATTATACTAGCGAAGAAGGTTGGAAATTAAAGATAAGAAAGTGAGCGGACAATTTGTTGTATGGGCTGTAAATCCTTAAGATTTAATGGTAAAAAAGACGAAAAGTAGGAACACGCCATCTTCGGCTTAACTCATTTATTTCGATTGTTCTGAACGGTCGACGACCTGTTAAAATTCTTCCGGACAACCGTCACTAAGAGTGGCGTTTCGATCCTCCGTTCGCGCGAAGTCTGTATAAAGAAGTATACAAAAGAAATGAAGATGACTGAAGTAACCACAGGAATCATTTGTATTGGAATATAGAAAAGAGAGTAATGATTATTGAGTTATGTTTTAAAAAATTAAATAAAATAAAACCAAGATGGACGACTAAACTAAAATCCCCAAAGAGGTTACAATTGTCAATAAACAAACGCTAATATTCCTGATGTGTCGGTGAAAGCCCAGCAAACCGCATACTACGAAATAGCAAGCCACTGCTTCGGAACCCCGCCCCTTCGCTTGGAAGCCGCTCGTCCGCCTCCTCCCGCCCCTCGCGTCGGCCACCGGCCGAGCAACCGGTCGCCCGGGGCGGGAGCGCGGACTGGGTGCCGGCCGGCGCACCCACGCACCGCACCGGGGGCAACACCACTCGCCGCTTCTGCCTTTTTCCTTTTGCCTTTCGGAGACGCGGGAACTCTCGTTGAGGGGAATCGTCGGACGCAGCGTCGCGCGGCGAGCGCTTCTCTCGCAGACCCGGTCAAAGAGGCTAGAGTACTCGGAATAGTTCTCTCTCTTGCGGGCGAAACTACACCATGCCATCTTCTTCTATCTTGCCAATCATCATCTTTGATGCGACGGTCTCTCTATGTCTGTCGCACACTATCAGACCATGTACGTCTTGGCCTGCCTCCCTTTCTGTGCGTTGGCAACTACCACCTCCAGGTTTTTAATGGACATCTTTCCTCCGGCATTCTTCGAAGATGCTCGTACCATTATAACCGTCTCTCTTCTATTGTATCCACTACATCGAAAATGACTCTTATTTGTTGAATTAAATTTTCAATTCTGATCCTTTCCATTAATGTTACATTACGGCTGCGTCTCCAAAACTCCATTTCCATAGCCTTCAATTCTGTCCCAATTTTCAGATCTCCCTCAACTCAGCACCGTACAGTGATATGCTTTGCACAATTGCTTTATAAATTCTAATTTTCACTTTATTAGCAATTTTTATTCCATGTTACTGAATGTAATTGCCGGAGAGCGGATACGCTGCTGCTAAAAATATTTAGAAATATTTTTTATAAACATAAAAACAGTTTGATTCGGCCATAATTGTGTTTTTAGGATAACCTAGCGACTGCAGCAATATCATTTTTCATGAAATTCTACAGCCACACCAAACTTCGTTATGACAAATTATGAATTAGAGTGTACTTACCATTTAATATTTTTAGGCAAATAAGAAAGAACATATTTAATATATTTCAAGAGATACTAATTGATATAGCAACCTCAAGTCAATGCAATGTAAATTTCAAAGTTATTTTGAAGAATTTTGTATTAAGATCATTTGCAGTTACATTTGAATAAAAATACGTTTCCACCTTATTCATAGATTCCTAATTTACTTCTCGCACTGACTTATTCCTCAGACTTCTACATGTTTCCATATCCATTCATTTTTTGAAAGATCGAACACTATTCCCGACACTCTAAACAAATAAGGGTTGTGTAAGTACTAGTAACAGAAAGTAAAATGGCTTTTGGAACCACTCGTATGCTACCAAAATTTAAAACACAGTTTCTCACCAGTTTTAAGTTCTTTGGGCAACTCCATAAATTGAACGATGGTAGACATTTTTTGCATTGCTCCTCAGCAAATTCAGCCAATTATCTTGTTTAGCTACTCCTACAGCTTCTTCAAGAAAGCATCTTTCTTAAGTGCTATAACCGGTTAGAAGTAAATCAAGAGTAGGCTCAGTGAAAGATTTCCTCGTTCCATTCCAATTTTGCTAGAGCCCTGAACGATCTACATTGCAGTCACAGGAAAATAAAATAAAATCAATAGACCTTAAGTGCGCAAATGAGCGCCTAAGACTAATGGCTGTACTGGTAAAACGTCGCGGTTGCTTTTGTCGGAGCGGAGGTGTTTTATAGATAATTATGTCTTTTGAACGTATCGGCACACTCGATATCACCCAGAAATATATTATATGATTTATATTATGCAACCTTCTGTTTTTATATGTAATTTAAGTGCTAGTAACAGCGAGCAACAGTAACGTGACATTCGGGAGTGACAATGACTGGGAAATAGCGCGAACAATGCCCAGCGAGTGACGGACATTTGCTTGTAGGGTTTGTTATTAATAAGTGTTTGCGGTTCTCGTCAGGTTCGAATTTGTTGGCCAGCGGGATTTTCCTGACCAGCGGGATTTTCCTGATTACTTCCAAACGAAATGCCTCTCAGTAAATCCGCCGTAAAAGAGCTACTCTAACATATTGAGCAGCCTCTTCTCATGTACACAGAGTCATATTTCATTTACAAAATAATGATAATATAGGAATAAATAAAATAATCACGACGATTTATTACAAATTCGGACCATTAAATGTTACGATTTTAAAACGAGACAGGCGTTAAAAATTAATATTCGAGGATGAAGCAAGCCATTAGTAGTTCTTGAACTGTATCAAAGGCTGCCGGGAGAACCTAGTCTGAAGCCGCGACTCGTCTTCCGCATGTCAGCTCAGCGAAAAAACCGGTGCGCCGAGCGGGGCGTGATATGCTGAGGGGCGAAGTCAAAGAAAGGAAAATTCATGAACAGGAAAAAGTCTTGAAAATGAAAAATAAAACACCAGTAAAAGGTGATTATATTGTATAAACACTTGTAATTAAATATACACGGACTTTCTTTTAAAAAATTGTATTCATTATAATAAAGTATGTCTTGCTCTAAATTAACATTGTTGTGTAAAAATCTCAAAAGCGCACAGCTCTTTGTTATTTCAGATCCATCGCTTCCCAGTCGCACATACACAAATTTTATAATAATCCGTAATATTTACTCAGTCTGAGTACAAACCCCGGACATCAAATGAGACGCAACGATATATAAAGGAGGCATAACATTACGTCAACTAGAAAGGTGCGAAAGCTAATGAAACAATTTTTAGTTTGGAAATTGTTTATCAATAAAAATGAATAAACATTGCGAAATAAATGTACAAGTGAGTTGTAGTTATTTACGAAATAAGTTTCTTAAAACATCTTATTACAATATGTGTTTGGAGATTAATCAAACGAGACTGTCTGGCAGAATTTAATTTCCAATTAAGTATGGTAATAAAAATGTAACTACACACATATCGTACGTTTCATCAATTTTGTAAAAATCCCAATATACAAATTAGCATTTACGATTGACTATTGATCCTCCAAAAGTGATACTCTGATATTCAAATACTTGATATCTCATGAATTATTAGAAAAGTTGCATTATAATAATACTTAGTATTAATCTCATTTCAGCTTCGTAAATACAAGTGGGTACATTATACTCTTATACATCAACATCAAATCCGTTACCAAATAACTGACTAAAAATAACCAAAGTGAATAAAAAATATAATTCAACACAAGAAATTCACAGGTGTGTAAACTCAAAATTATTTCATGTATGGAAAGCTCCTTATTCACCACACGCCTCCCGCCGTCCCTGAGCTCAGCTGGGTTTGCACTTGAGAAGACGAACAACGGATGGACAGCCTCCGCCGCTTTTTGCCCTTCCTCTTCCCCCTCCTCCGGGGACTGCGCGAACAACAAGTTCAGCAGGCGACCTCCGCGAAGGTCGTTAAATAAATCTGCGCTTATGACACATAAATAACAATCGCAAGCCGGAAGGCGGAGTCCGCAGGTGAGCAGGTTTATTGAAGGCGCGCCAACCCACACAATGCGCTCGAGTCATGCGAGCTCCGAAAGTTGCAGGTCACCGCGAAAGACCTTCCCCCTCTATCAGGATCGATCTTTGCTCCGCCGCTTTCATTGTAATAAAACGATTAATATCTATATAATTCGCTTAGGCCACTAAAGCTTCCTAACATCTTAGGCAAATATTGAAAACATCGCTGCCGAAATATTACTCGTTCAAAAAATATAGATCTAATTGACACCTGCATTAAAATTGAAACACAGATGAAAAAATAAACTGTTGAAGCATGGTATGTTCAAGGAAGTTACGTAGTCCTAAGTACTTTATATAATTATTATACTTTGCTTAGGGTAAATTGGTGGAACTAATACCTTAATTAGGTTCTGTAATTATTTGCAAACTGATTTGATATTGATGTATAATAGAATAATGTACTTGTACCTACTTGTACACTATGACATATGAATAAAATATTTTTTGATATGTAGCTTCTCCGTTGACCTCGATTTCTTACGAACATAACAGCATTGCAATAGAGCAAATCAGAATCTAAACATCCATTGTCAGCAAACATTCCACAGTTTTTTATAAATTAAGACCTTCGTTTTCAATGGTCTTTTGCTCCCTTCTTGAAGTGTTATATGTTATATTATTTTCTGACAGTTTCTAACATTTTTACCATGTTATTATTCAGCGCATTATAACTATGAGCCTTAAAGACAGCTTAACAGTTGTATGGAAAGCTAATTTCCAACAGAAAATATTAGTATTTTCATTTCGGCTGTAATATTTTCGGCATATTTTGGTTTTACTTTCTATTAAAAAACTAATAAACTCTCATTCTGGAACATTGTTAAATGCACGTGAAATTAACTTTTATTAAAGCAAAACCTTTTCTTTGATACTTAAGTAGTCTAATTAGAAATCGAGATCAAGAGGTATGCAGAACTTTCCTAGCATGATTTACAACGCCATAATGTTTTAAATGCTTGTGATATCACCTAGAAAGGAAATTAAAGGGAAAATTACTCTTTTAAACGCATTTTCTCAACACAACCCTTGTCAATGTTTATACAAACGTTTTCCAATGAATTACTAAAAATTCTTTAATCATACTGTCACTAATATCGCATTCAAATATTCACTTAATTGTTGTAAATAAAAAATTGAATTTTCCAGTTTTATAAAACATTTATCCTAAACAGTCAATTTGCAAAGAAACAACCGTGAATTATTTATCTGGCCATATATTTAACATACAAAGTGGGATTGGTGTGCAAACGAAAACTCACTTTGATTTCAATTTACTGATTTTGTTTTTCGTTTTTTATCCTCTGTTATTACGTGTACACAAACATTGTGTGTAAATAACTTCTTGTGAACAATAAGCTATTTTTGTGGTATTAACGCAAGTTTTAACGTAGATTTCCTAGTGCAATCTTCTGACTCGATGTGGGAAGATTTGGATGCAAAGCGGGAAACCCCTGACATCTCCAGCAATGCAACCCGCTCGACGTCTTTTGGTACACCAACGCACGCGTCACGCGAAAGCATTCTGAGATCCAATAAAACATAGACAGCAATGGACAGTGTCGTAAATCGGTAGAACAATATTCAATGTATTAAGTAACTAGGAAACTCATTCACAATTTTAAAGCAAAAATTCAAATTGTGTGGTTTTATTTGACGATGGAACTGCCTTCTGGCAGTAATTGTGAGATACAGCATTATTGCACAGAAAAGCAAATTTGTTCTCTGTTACTTCGCGTCACCGTTTACTTCCTTACCTTCACCGTAGGCAAAAACTGCAAAAGTAGGAAACATTTTTCTCGCCTAAAACGGATTCATCTTATCTCCACAAGGATGCGTCTGTGCTCAGAAGCTCTATCGCTAAATTGAGAAAGTATTTTTTCGGCTATCCGGATGGCAACTTAAGTTGTGTACGAGCGTAAATATTGACGCTACAAGAAGACCTAGTGATTTGAAAGTGATAGAACAATATGTCATTCAGAAGGGGCCGCAAATAGTATCTAAATGACCATATTTCGCGACATGGACGCATGCTTGGCACGAATATATTTGCATATTATTATTATGATTATGATTATTATTATTATTATTATTATTATTATTATTATTATCCAGCTATACATTCCGTTAAGAGCGAAGACCTCATGTTTTACTGGCAATTATTACATATTAACATCAATCATAAAAACAAAACAAAACATAGATCATATTGGTGCAATATTAGCATGAATGCAGAAAATACAAAAGAAAATTTAAAATATCATTACAATCCATAAGGCACCGCAAATAAATCCTTCAATATTTTAGTCTTTTGTATTTGCATTTCTCATTCTGCGTGACCTCACGTTCTGAGACCTCAAATGTTTGTCATCATTTACGTCCACTTCTCGAGAAAATATGAACCGTGCCTATGACAGTTAGAAGAAACCTAGAACAATTATATAATTAACACGATTAAGACAGTTATGGCAAAACACGTTTCTGGCATGTAAAGAATAAAGAACAATTTGTCTCTTCAGGTTACAGGAGTACCGCCCATGTAGCCGTGAAATCCTTGTGTAATTAGTTTACTTTCTTGCGCAACCGAAAATGAACGTCTTAGCAGCTGCCAAGCGAAGAGTGCGCATGCGTCATATGCGCAATTACTTGGCGCAGATGACGTGACGACGAAGCGCCAGCCAGGGCGAACGGACGCACGGCCTGCCCCGCCCTCCCCCTCCCTCTGCCTTCACCTCGCCCCCTTCCCTCACATACACACACACGCACACACACATTAGCGAAAGAATCCTCGGATAACGGTGCAACATACATAAAACGTTTTGTCTTATTTTGCTACATTGAGGAAACTGTGCCCAAAATGTAAAGTATATATTTGCTTCTTCCTGCACGAAACTGCGTGTGGAATTGTATTGAGGTGTACGCAAACTTGGAAGTTCCTCGCGTCTACAGTCTGGGATGGCTGAGACAGCATTGCTGTTGCCACTTCAGCGTCGCTGAGAGATCCTCCTAGGGTTTGAGCCCCGACGGTGGAGGATTTTAGACAATGCAGCTACGTAGCCAGATCGAATTGCAAACTGTCTGACAGATTATTCTAGCGGCCAGCTGCTGCGATCGTTCGTTTCCCGAGGTTTCTCCAACCAATACCGGACTGACCGCGCACCATCTTTCGCCCCTCATCCTTGTACCATTCTCTCCCCTTACTTCCAATACACACACACACACACTTATATCCACTACCTACCACAGAGGTCGGGAAACCAGACTAGCGCTTCATCTTGCAAGAGCCAAAAACACAAAATCTTTCCTCCTCGTACTGAAATTCTATTGTCAGCGTAGGACTTTGAACCACTTTCCTAAAATGTTACTATTATTTTCATGATTAATTGTCATCATTGCCCATCCCGGCAAAAACACCCTCAAAATATTAACGTCGGGAATGAATAATGTTTACTCAAAGTTTAAAAGTCTTAAACCGTCTGGTGATATTGAGGACATGAATAAACTAATCATAGTAACTACACCCCTGCTCCATTTACATGACGTGAAGTTCCAGGAACTGATGAAAAAATTCATTGAAAAACTATTGCTTCTCGCGAAACTACTCTAAACCTCACACGACGCTGTAAACACATGTTCTCTTTAAATCGGGTAACGACCAAGAAAGCCATTGGAATGAAGCTGTGAGTCGGAGGTTTTCCCGTTGTCAGGTCGTCGAGCTTTCTTCTCGGAAGACACGAATCACCACATACTCTCTCCTACAAGCACCGGCCACATTTTTCGAACCATTCGGAACCACTCGAGCAATTACCGTACAGATGCAAGTCATTTCGGTCACAAAACACATTCCTTTACCAGATGCGTCATATAGGCATGAACAATTATTAAAGATGTTTTAACTTCGGTGTTTTTCCTTTTCAAGGCAATTATGCGCTCTGCCCGAGAAAAATAAGGAGTCAACAACCCCAGGCGAAGCGGGAGACTAGCGGTATTTGCGTACGATTCAGTTGCCGCTGTCGATACAAACTGAAGGTGGATCTTTTGAAGAACGAAGAACCCTTTACTTTTCCTACTTTTGATCTTGTTCTTTGCTCCAGGCCCTTTTGTCCTCGTTATTAGCTCTCACCATTCCGTCATCCCTTGCTCTTCGTCGCCTTTTGTGTCTCCTTCTGAACACATTTCTCTTTCGCCCTTCGCCAGGCATCCATTATCCTTTGTCCTTTGACCTTCTTCTCCGCGCCGTATCCATCGCCTGTCAGCCCTCGCCAATGTCCGTCACCCTTTGCACTTCTTTGGACTCCGATGATTACGTAACCATATAATGTTATACATAGTTTTTGTTTATTATTCGTAATTACCTTTCACTTCATTAACACATGAGCCAGATTATTGGTGATAATTCCACAATGCTGCAGCCAAGATTTGTTAATAACTAATTTACATCAATATATTCGCAGGAAACATTTACTAAGTCCATAATGTTTACCACGTAAGTGACACACAAAATTATTAATTTTCCGAAGTTAAAATAAGTTAATGAGCAGCAAGTTACTCTATTAAAAAAACAGAAATTATATTTTAATAATAATCTATAGAATTTATTCACTTAGTTATTTTGCAAGAAAAAAATGTTTTCATAGTTAAATAACATCCGTCTTAAAATATCTTTATGTTTGTAATACATTTATTTCGATCTTATTCAGATTTTTTGAATGAATTAGAAATTAGTAATTAACTCATTTTTCTTACATACAGCCAATTTTTAGTGAAAATTTAAAGGATGTTAAGCACATTATATACTTAAAATATGAGACTTAACATATTTCATGTGCCATTGGTAAACAATTGACTCAGCATATAAACTGCATGACAGAATATAATCTGTACTAATTTTCTCTCATTAATTTAGATCCTTTTCGTTAATTTCTTTCTTTACCTTTAACATTTTCATCTACCATTCGTCACGAAAAGGGTCAGTGCTTTCATAGCTCGACCCAAGACTCCGAAAATCCACCTCACTGAGAGACGACTCATTATAATTTAAAATTAACAGGCAATGTTTTGTCACTATCACTGACGAAAGTTTTTTTTTAAATGTTGACAAACGCATATAAAATCTTATGGCAATATCTAAAATCTTACGTAGAGTGGTTAATCTCTGAAAGAGATACCTTTAGAGATACTCGCGTGGCACTAAAAAGCGGTGCTCATACCCAGGGGGCGCGCAAAGACACCTGGGGCAGTAGATCCACGGAGGGCCATTTTATTCAAAACAAATTTAAGCCCCCCACCCCCAAAAAAATAGAATACGTTGCTCCATTCAACAGAAATAACGTATAGCGTTAATTTGAATAAGAAGTAAATAGTTTATCTGTTTTGATTGAAAAAATCATTTTTGGGTCCCAATTACGTCGGAATCTGAGGAAAGTTGCTTCAGCTGCCTTTCGTCTTGCTCGTACCCATCGTAACCATAGGTGCGAAGCCGCCCGCATCTCGCCGCGCACTCAGTTTACAGGCACGGCGACCCGTTCGCAGAGCAGGTGGCGCAGCGCGGCGGCGCGAATCGCACTTCGCCTTCGCCATCGCCATCGCCGGGCGAAGATTAGAATGAGCACCCCCCCCCCACCTCCAACAACGCCAGACAAGTAGCGGTTCTTGTTTCGTGAGCTGATTCACACGTTTACGAAAGACTGAGAGGGCGAGCTTCACAAACGAGATGCAACGCCTGGCGAGGGCCCACAATCAGACCGGAAAGAGATGCTAAGGATTCAGAACAGCAGATAACGAGCAGTGGGGTGAAGCAGAGCAGCAGGTGCTCGTCACGCACAAGGGAGCGATTGCACGATCTGAGAGGTAATGACAATGCGGATTTCTATTTAAAAATTGAAATTTAATGTTATTCTCAAAATAAAGGGCAGCAAAATACAACCAGTAGCTACAGAATGGCATAGACTTTCCGGAATAAGTTTTCTATTTCCTTTGCTCTTGGATAGCTCTTCGAACTTGCCACAATCTCTTGCCAGATGCCATCTATCGGCGGATTTTTTCCCTAACTTTTTTGTTTGCCTAAGAAAACAATCGAAATATTACTTTAAGAATATTAAAGAAGAGTAAAACCTCGTTATATATGGAACTGTTCATTGGAAAATGTACAGCGGTTTTTTTAAGAAAATGGTGCTTAAGCCTCACTGTGAATGCGAAATTTGAAGTTCTTTTCACAGAAAATTATTGAATTTTCGAAAAACGTCATATGAAGAAATTTCAAGCACTTCCATTTACAAATGCAAAAGTGTTTACAAATCGCTGGAAATGTGCATAATAAAGACGTGAGAGTTATTTTTAAAAAAACAAAAGGGTACATCAATATGAACTTTATTTCATATTAAACAGTACACTTAGCACTACCTGTAGGTTAGTATCATAGGTTAGTATCGTAGTATCGCAGTGTCGTAGACACATCATAGTCTCACATTGTCGTACGCACATAATAAAAAAATGAGTGAGCAAGAAAAAAAGGTACAGACCCGTTCATCCCTCACAACAATTGTAGCTCGACTAAAGTACCCATGAAAATTAATATTCATTTGAAACTCCCGAAGTCTGGAGTTCGTTCAGATCAATTGGGGAATATCAATTTTGGAGAAAATCGGTTCAACCGTTTGGGCGCTAGCGTTGATCACAGATAGACGGAAGGACAGACGTTATGTCGTCAATCTATTTTTCGGACCCACAAAACATGGATTCTGGCTATACCACGAGTTAAAGGAAATAATTTATCATGTAGTATAGGTACAGGATTTATCCACTTTTAATATAGTATAGGTACAGGATTTATCCACTTTTCATTACTAGGGCACGTCAATAAAGAGTTTTTCCGCCGAAAATTCGCCGTTTTCCGGCGCACAGTTCCAACACATTCTGGTGCTATGAACTGCTAGAAAGTAAAAATGGTGTTCTGCATAAATATTTTCTGAAGCCGGTCTTTAGGATGTGATCTGGCTATTAGGGCCGCAAAAGACCGGATGGTGGACCGAGTGATGAGTGACGAAAGAAACTAAATAGAATTCGTTTGTCCATTCAACAGAAAAAACTTATAGCATTAATTTGAATAAGAAGTAAATCGTATATTGTTTTTGATTGAAAAAAATTCGGGGCCCAACGAAGTCTGGTGAGATCAATTGAGACCGGGCCGTGAGCTAATGATGTCTACGAGAGGTTGGGTGGTGAGCTGTGGCGAGCGCTGGATGGTGGTCGGGTAAAACCGGGTGGAGAGCGGCCCCAGAGGGAATAAGTGGTCCCTAGTTGGGTCAAGATCGTGAGCGAATGAGATGGTGAAGGCAAGTGGGTGACTAAATGGATCCAGGTGGTAGGCTCCGGATGGTGATCAGGTGGGACCAGGTGGTGAGCGCCCAGAGTGTCCGGATGGTCAGCCCCGGGAGTTAGTGGCCAGGTGAGGTGGTGAGCGTCAGAAGGTGGCCGACAAGGTGAGCGTCGAGAGGTGTGAAGGAGTGTCGCGGGGGAGAACGAGCGGTGAGCGCCGGGAGATGAGCAGGTGAACTGCGCGGTGACCGAAGTGGATTCGGCCAGGTGGATTCGGGAGGTGAGCGGGATGAGGTGAGAGGGTTACTTCCGGTTGGTGGGCAAGTATAGGTTGCAGGGCAGAGTAGCGAGCGCCTGATGATGGCCAGATGGAACGCTGGAGGGTGAGCTTGCGGTGAGCGGCTGTGTGCGCGTGCGCAGGGTACCACATCCGGCCGCGGCCGTGCGCGGCGGCGGGCAGCGACGGCACCTGCATGTTCGTGTGGGAGTGCCTGCGCGCGGGCGGCAAGCCGCTGGGCGTGTGCGTCGACCACTTCATGTTCGGCTCCTGCTGCGGCGACGCGCCCGAGGACGACTCCGACGAGGACGACGACGAGGACGAGGACGGCGCGGAGCCCGAGGACAACGCTGTCGAAGACACCGACGAGCTGCTCCGGCCCCTCGCCCCGGCCCCGGCCCTCGCCGTAGCAATGCACGGGTGAGTACCACAGGCGTTTACAAACTGCGGCTGAGCAAAACTTTAGAAGCGCCCCAGCCGATCTACTTAAGATAGTCTTCAAGTCGGTCGAGATCTTCAGAATCTACAGAGCAAATATGAAAAGATTGCAATGTGTGGAAAAGGTTTGCACTTGAACATCTTTCCAAAATCCGCCTGAAATGGCATTTTCCAACTCCGATAAATTAATTCTGTATTTCTTGTCAATTTTTGCTACAACCCTCAAGGACCATCATTGGAAATGACAGGGTGATCTAATTGATCTCCCCATCTAAAGATCGCGGGGGATTGTTAGAGTTGGCGTTAGAACCACGAAGACGAGCTGTTAGGGCTGAACAGTGGAGTGAGCTTCGAATCTTATTTCTTGAAACAGAACGAACGCCGGAGCATGACCTACGCTACGGTCTTACATCTGATGTAACATCATTTTAAAGAATACATCACCCATTCTTAATATAACAATGTTCTGTATTTAAATAAAAAAATATTACTCTGAAATCTGCAGATTTCTGGACTCCGGTAGGCCAGTCTTTCCTCACACCCATTCGGATATTAGTGACATTGAATAGCCCATAAGGTAATGATGTAAACTTAGCAGTAAAATTTACACGTAAAAACAAGCATTCACAATGACGACCTTATCTTCGAATGTACGTTTCGCCTGAACCAAACATAATTCAACGTATTGAAAATTGTATCGATTTGTTTCTACCGTGATGGAAAGATCTTTCCGACATTGTTTCAAGCTTTTTGTTCGACTTTCCTAACAATTTGTCTCTATATATGAGGTTAGCTGTTGTATTAGTGCTCGCATTTCCTATGTTTTATAAACACGGATTCTCTTACACCAAATTCACGAGTAATTCGTCGAACATAATTATTTTATTCACCATGTCAAGTTAAAGTCACGAGAAAAATAGCCCAAATTCATCCTTTGAATTCACTACTCGCATTAAAACCGTTCGCTAACTAGTTCAATACGTAAAAATAATGAAATGACATAACCCAAAACTACCTGAATTCAACATGAAATCCACCTTTCATTGACTTCTCGCGGATTTTGTTGTGCATTTGTTACTTTCATGCTTCTCTCTGATTGGTTTTTAGTAGAACTCCGATATAAACTGAATGTAAGAGCTAGGTGCTTTTGAACTCTTAAGTTAACGTCTATGGTTTCATCAGGGCGTTGTCAGTGGTCTCGCTTAATAAACCCATTTTTAGGTTTTGCAGCAACGTTACGTTTGCGTTAAAGTTCGCATAGTGAATGAGGCCCAACCGCGGTGGCTCGAAGGTGCCCGCTCGCCTGCTCTCTCCCTCGCTGTGAACCGATTGGGACAGGGATTTTGTTGAATGGGTCTCCGAGGTTGTTTGCTTTTTCCTTTATAGAGATAGTCAGCTCACAGTAAATGCTCATTCATAATGAACTATGAACGTAAACGTTTTTGATTCGATGTAACCGTTCACATTGGTGACCGTCAATGTAACACTAAGAACACAAACATATGCCGTAACCGTGAACAATCTTCACGTTTTCACGTTCAGGTTAACGTGAACTAGAACAACACACTGTCGAGTACCGGAGAAAGAATAAAATAACTTGTATCCACTTCATTAGAGAGAAAGTAAGGTTCGCAGTTTGTGCGATCATTAATTGCCATTCAGTATCACAATTGGTTGTGAAACGCTCAATAAAATTATTCGTGACCTTCATGGTATAAAAAAAAATAATCAACCAATGATTTATTATTTTTTATACACTGAAGGCCTTCATTTTCTTCAATGTCATTTGAAGAATAAAGAAATTCGCTCGATTGCGTAAAGAAATTATGAGCCCAATATTTATCGTATCGATATCGATGAGTGGTTGTATATACGTTTACGTCGGGGATCGTTGTGAATTGTACGCCCAAGTTTACGTTGAAAGTAGTACGTGTAAGTTCTCTGTCATTACGAATAGCCCTTAAACAAGTGCTCTATTTGACACGAGATGTAATAGTTCTATACATTGTATCTCATCGCTTGGAATATTGCTATGTATATCCAATGTTGTTGGTTTTGCAGCTCTTCTGCGGCGCCGCATCACCAGCACACGGCGGGCAGCACCCCCGCAGCCATGTGGGTGCGTCCGCCGCCTCCGCCGCCGCCCCGGCCCGGCGCCCCGCTCGTGGCGCTACTGCTGCTGTGCTCCTCGCTCCGTTGTCGTCGTCGTCGTGACTGGTCGTCGACGCGCGTATGCCGTGGTGGTAGTTATGTTGTGTTCGTGTGGTGTCTGGACGGGTTTCGGTCGGTATGGATTGTGTTTTCGGGGGGGATTGCGACAGGGCGGCGGTTCTGGGCCGGCGTGGGCGCTGCCTCGTCAGTACGGCCGTGGCGGGGCCTGGCCGACTAGCAGGCGAGTGTGTGCGCTGCTGCGGCGGCCGGCGCGGAGGCGGCGACGGGCCGCGGGCGACCGGCGCACGCCCGCGTGACGAAGACGTTCTGCCCGAGCTACCGCCAAGGCCACCCCCGCCCCCGGCACCGGAGGCGCGGGACACAAGCGGCCGCCCGCGCGCGTTAGCGCCGGACGTCACCTCTATCTATAGGCCGCGGGTGCTGCCCCCGTTTGCTGCTATTGCGGGACGCCCGCCAGAAGCAGCTTGCAAAAACCAAATAATACATAGCCAATTTTCCAAGCATGAATACAACTATTAACATCTCGTGTCACTATAGAGCACTTGTTTAAGGCGCATTCGTAATACCAAGTACCTAACACTCTACCTACTCAAAGTCAACGTAAACTTGGCTGCTACAATCACAACGATCCCCGACGTAAACGTATAGTACAACCACTCATCGAAGTCGATACAATAAATATTGGATCATAAATTTCTTTACGCAATCAGAGCGAATTTCTTATTCTTCAAATACAGAAGAAAATAAGAGGCCTTCAGGTGTATTAAAAAATTAATAAATCATTGGGTTGATTATTTTTTTTATACCATGAAAAAGGTTTCCACGAAAATTTATTGAGCTTTGCATAAGCAATTGTATACTGAATGGCAATTAATGATCGCACAAACTGCGCAACCTTACTTTCTCTCTAATGAAGTGGATACAGTTATTTTATTCTTTCTGCGGTACTCGACAGCTGTTTGCTTCGTTTTCACTTAACCTGAACTGAAATGTGAAGATCGTAAATTTCACGTTACGCCATATGTTGTTTCTTAATGTTAACATTGAACGTTCACCAATGTGAACCGGTTACATCGAATCAAAAACTCGTTTTACGTTCAATAGTTCATTATGAATGAGCATTTACTGTGAGCTGACTATCTTCTATAAAAGGAAAAAGCAAACAAAACTCGAGACCCCATTCAAGAAAATCCCTGTCCAATCGGTCACACGAGGGAGAGAGCAGCGCGACGGTCACCTTCGAGCCACCGCGGTTGGGCCTCATTCACTATGCGAACTTTTAACCGCAAAAACTTAACGTGCTGCCAAAACCTAAAAAATGGGTTTATAAGCGAGACCACTGACAACCCGCTGATGAAACCAAGACGTTAAACTTAAGAGTTCAAAAGCACCTAGCTCTACATTTCATTATATCGAGTTCTACTAAAAACCATCAGAGAGAAGCATGAAAGTAACAAATGCGCACAAGACAAAATCCGCGCATAATCAATGAAGTGGATTCTCATTTGAATCTCAGTAGTTCTGGTTATGTCATTTCATTATTTTTACGTATTTAACTAAGTTAGCGAAACGTTTAATGCGAAGTAGTAATTCAAAGTATGAATTTGGCTATTTTTTCTCTGACTTTAACTTAACATGGTGAATTAAATAATTATGTTCGACGAATACTCGTGAATTTGTGTAAGAAAAATCCGTGTTTATAAAAAACATAGGAAATGCGAGCACTAACTACAACAGCTAACCTCAAAATAGAGACAAATTTTAGGAAAGGTCGAACAAAAAGCTTGAAAACAATGTCGAAAATCTTCCATACCGGTTAAAACAAATCGATACAATTTTCAATACGTTGGAATTATTTTGGTCTCAGCGAAACGTACATTCGAAGATAAGGTCTCATTGAATGCTGTTTTTACGTGTAAATTTTTTACTGCCTAAGTTTACATTCATTACCCTTTATGGCTATCCAATGTCACTATATCCTAATGGGTGTGAGAGAAAACTGGCCTACCGGAGTCCAGAAATCGCAGATTCAGATAATATTTTATTTAAATACAGAGACATTGTTATATTATAAGAATGGGGATGTATCTTAAAATGATGTTACAATCAGATGTAAACCGTAGCGTAGCTCGATTAGCTTCCGGCTCGTCTGTTCAAAAAAAGATTCGAACTCACTCCACTTCAGCCCTAACAGCTCGTCTTCGTGGTTCTAACGCCAACTCTAACAAATCCCCCGCATCTTTAATGATGGGAGATCAAATTAAAGATCACCCTGTCCATTCCAATGATGGTCCTTGAGGGTTGTAGCAAAAATTGACAAGAAATACAGAATTAATTTCGATGGAAAAATGCCCATTTCAGCGGAATTTTTGGAAAAAATTTCAAATGCAACCTATCCACACATTGCCAATCTTTTCCATAATTGCTCTGTAATTCTTGAAGATCTCGGACCGACTTGAAGACTATCTTAAGGAGATCGGCTGGCGCTTCTAAAGTTTGCTCAGCCGCAGTTTGTAAAAACGCCTGTGTACTCACCCGTGCATCTCTACGCGAGGCCGCCGCCGGGCCGCGAAAGCGCCGGAGCAGCTTTTCTTCAGTGTCTTCGACAGCGTGTCCTCGGGCTCCGCGCCGCTCCTCGTCCCTCGTCGTCGTCCTCCGTCGGAGTCGTCCTCGGCGCTCAGCCGCAGCAGGAGCCAACATGGAAGTTCGACGCACACGCCCAGCGGCTTGCCGCCCGCGCCGCAGGCACTCCCACCAACACTGCACGTTGCCGTCGCTGCCCGCCGCCGCCACGACCGCGCCGATGCTGGTACCCCTCGCCAACGCGCACACAGCCTCTCACCGCAACTCACCCTCCAGCGTTCCCATCGCCATCACCAGGCGCTCGCTACTCTGCCCTGCAACCTATAACCTGCCCAACCAGACGAAAGTAACCCTTCTCACCTCATCCCGTCACCTGCCGAAACCACTTCGCTCACCCGCGCATCACCCTCATCTCCCGGCCGCTTCACGCGCTCCTTCTGCCCCGCACACTCCCTTCACACACGCTCGGCGCTCATCCTTTCTTCGCCACCTTCGACGACTCACCACCTCAACCCCCCATAACTCCCGGGGCCTGCACCATCCCCACTCTGCGTCCGCTCACCAACCTGTCCCACCTGATCACCATCCGGAGCCCTACCACCTGGATCCGTCTAGTCAACCCACTGCCTTCACCATCGTCAATTCGCTCACGAATCTCTGACCCATCTAGGACCACTATTCCCTCTGGCGGCCGCTCATCCATCCCGGTTTTACCCACCCACCATCCAGCGCTCCCACAGCTCACCACCCAACCCTCTCGTAGACAATCATTAAAGCTCACGCGCCCGGTCTCAATTGATCTCACCAACTTCTTGGCCCCGAAACTTTTTTTCAATCATAAAAACAATATTACATTTACTTCTTATTTCAAATTAATGCCATAAGTTTTTTCTGTTGAATGGACAAACGAATTCTATTTAGTTTCTTTCTTCACCTCATCACTCGTCCACCATACGTCTTTGCGCCCTAATAGCCATATCACATCCTAAAGACGGCTAGAAAAGATTTATTGCCAGAAACACCCATTGTTACTTTCTAGCAGGTCATCAGCACCAGAATGTGTGGAAACTGTGCGCCAGGAAAACCGGCGAATTTTCGGCGGAAAAACCTTTATTACGTGCCTAGCTAATGAAAAAAGTGATAAATCCTTACCTATACTATATTAAAAGGAATAAATCCTGTAACCATATACTACATGATAAATTATTTTCTTTAACTCGTGTATGGCCAGAATCCCATGTTTTTGCTCCGAAAAATAGATGACGACATAACGTCTGTCCTTCCGTCTATTCTGTGATCAACCGCTACGCCCCCAAACTGTTGAAACCGATTTCTCCAAAATTGATATTCCCCAATTGATCCTGAACGAACTCCAACTTCGGAGCTTTTCAATATGAATATAATTTTCATGCTACTTAGTTCGAGCTACAATTGTTGTGCCAGGAATAAACGGGTCTTAACTTTTTTTCTTGCTCACTTCATTTTTTTATTATGTGCCGTACACAAGTAGACTATGATGTGTCTACGACCACTTCGATACTACGAACTTAACCTATTGCATACTAACCTACAGTATTGCTAAGTGTACTGTGTAATATGAAATAAAAGTTCATATTGACTTCCTACCCTTTTGTTTTTTTTAAAATAACTCTCACGTCTTTAATATGCCACATTTCCAGCGTTTGTAAACACTTTTGCATTTGAAATGTAAGTGCCTGAAATTGCTCATATGAGCGTTTTCAAAATTTCAATAATTTTCTGTGGAAAAAAGAACTTCAAATTTCGCATCACAGTGAGGCTTAAGCACCATTTTCTTAAAAAAACCGCTGTACATTTTCCAATGAACAGTCCATATATAACCGACGTTTTACTCTTCTTTAATATTCTTAAAGTAAATATTCGATTGTTTTCTTAGGCAAACAAAAAAGTTAGGAAAAAATCCGCCATAGATGGCATCTGCAAGAATTTGCAATTCGAAAGCTATCCAAGAGCAAAGGAAATAGAAACTTATTCCGAAAGTCTATTTGCCATTCTGTAGCACTGTTATTTTGCTGCCCTTTATTGAGAAATAACATTAAATTTCAATTTTTAAATAGAAATCCGCATTGTCATTACCTCTCAAATCGTGCAATCGCTCCCTTTGCGTGACGAGCACCTGCTGCTCTGCTTCACCCCCCACTGCTCGTTATCTCTGTTCTGAATCCTTAGCATTCTCTTTTCCCGGTCTATTGCCCTCGCCAGGCGTTGCATCTCTTTGTGAAGCTCGCCCTCTCAGTCTTCGTAAACGTGTGAATCAGCTCCGAAACAAGAACCGCTCTTGTACTGCGCGTTGTTGGACGTGGGGCGGGTGGCCTCTTTCTAACTCTTCGCCCGCGAGGCGATGCGAAGAAGTGCGATTCGCGCCCGCCGCGCTGCCGCCACCTGCCTCTCGAACGGTTCCCTGCCTGTAAACTGAGTGCGCGCGAGATGCGCGCGGCTTCGCACCGATGTTACGATGGGTACGAGCAAGACGAAGCACTGAAGCAACTTTCCTCAGATTCCGACCTAATTGGGACCAAAAATGATTTTCTCAATCAAAAGCAGATAAACTGTTACTTTCTAAAATTCAAATAACCTATACTTTATTTCTGTTGA